CGTTTTCCTCTTCATGACCAGAGTATAACAGCAGTTCCCCTGAAGCAAGTCTCAGTTGTCCTACCTGTGTCCAATGCGTTTCACTGATGCCGAGCACCTCGAGGTTGTATCTTTTCATTTCTGCCGCAATTTGAAATAGTCTTCCAGTTTCCCACAATGTACGAACGTTCCATGTACCTAAAAAAATGGTTGCTCTGGTTGTCAGAAGAGGCATCGGCCCCGTGACTTCCGAGGGAACTCGGCTTTCATCACGAGACGTCATAATTCTTCTTCCAACTCCCAGGGCAGAGTTAAAATGGTTTGAATTATTTTTTCTGGTTAGCGTTTTTTTGGCAAGTGAGATTTCAACGGAATGGGGTCGCCAACCCCATGTCCAACCCTCCTCCTTTGTCCGGGCTTGGGACCGGCAGTAGCCCCTAAGGTTCTACTGGCGGAGTTGATCTAACTGTATAAATACTGTATAAATATAAATAAATTTATACAGATCTAACTGTATAAATACGCATTATCTGTTACGCTTTATGACCTGGACCGGGATCCTGATTCTCTTCTGGACTCGAACCTCGTACTTTCTGGATGCTTGTAGAATACAGGTTCTACTTCATATATCAAGTCTTCTTCTTTATTTCAATAGGGGTTGAGACAGTCGGATTAGAGTAGCATGTCGTGTCGCCGGATCCTCGATACTTGCTCTCGTTCTCCGACTAAGGTAAACATGTAATAGTTCAAGCATATCAATTCGACAAGTTTACGTGTATGCGTAACGCACAAAAACGCGGTTCATTCAGTCAGTCAAATGCAACGTAGAACTTCGTACGTAAGTACATCAGTTCATGTTGCCATACCACATCAGCACAGAAATGTAATTGTCAATTCAAATCCAGTAGTAGTAGAGGTAGTAAAGGTATTAGAAGTAATCGGAGAGGTTAGGATTAGAAGAAATTATTCAAGAAGTAGGATTCAATGAGAAAAGTTTAGAATGTCAAAACCAGGGGGGTTGAAGAATCCAGAAGATTAGGATTTGAGAGAACACAAAGAATAAATGCACCGGCGCCATTGCAAACGATTTTGAGCCATGTCATTCAGAGTCTCTAGCCATCGATTATTATCATCTCGCGGACCCCAACCAGGTAGTCAGCAATTACCGACATGGCTCAGTCCACTCGTCAATGACTTCACGGATTTGTGCCATGTTTTGGTTTGGCCTCCCCTAACTTTCTTCCAACCTACTCCCACACTACAAAACAAAGCTCGTCGAGACAGTCGGTGGTTAGGCATACGTAACACATGTCTCAACCACCTCAACTGATGAATTTTCATTACTTCATCTATGGATCTGCCATTCTTACCTAGCACCCGTTTCCTAATAACAGCGTTGCTCACTCTGGTGTCCCACGATATACGAGCAATGCTTTGAAGACACTGATGATCGAAAACAAGCAATCTACAAATATATTCCACTCTCACTGGCCATGTTTCACAGCCATAAAGTAAGACGGAGCGAACTATAAAAAACGCGGCTCACCTAAGTATAATATCCGGAAATGAATCATTATCGATTATTCGTCCAAACTAGAGTCAAATTGTGTTCATATGTGTACCAGTATTGAATTGAGGAAACACTCAATGAGCAAAAACGAACATATTAGATTTGGAAATCAAATAAAGAGCAGAATAAAAATGTATTTAAAAAATCATTATTTGATAGAAATACCACAATTTTCTTAGCTCATTTCAATTTTTAAGTTTATTGCTAATGTTAGTCAAACGTGTAATCGACATACAGGCTGACTTAAATGCCATACTCGCTAACTCCTTAAACTGACTACATTCGACCAAAGATATAGATTGAAAGAGAAAGTCTATTTTGTCTACCGAATCACAAACATAAATATTACTACTCATTTACTCATAAACATTCTTCTCCTTTAGAAATCGAGTTCATTTCTTGACCAATCATATTTATGCATTGTGTAAGGACATTTCTGAAGGTCATATGAAATAGCAATCTCATTTAACCACTCGTGATTGGTTCATTATTATCGATAATCAAGGTTTGTTCACGATTGAACTATGCAAATTTAAACAAATTAATCCAATAAATTCAATATCATACAAATCTAAGTTTCTTTTCTTTTCCGAAAAAAAAAATAATCTTCTTAGGTATTGGTTCCGGTCCAGTTTTTCCCGGTTTTCAATATAACAGTGAAATGGGCAGTTATGCAGTTTCTATACAAGCTGTATCCAAACATTTAATACCACAAACAGCTATAGTATATTATAATGGAGGATGTTCATTTGAATTGGACAATTGGACGAATTCAAAAGTTTTATATACATAGTAAGTGAAATGATTTTTTGTACTGAAATGAAGTTGATTATAGCGCCTCTCATATACATTTGAGTTTAGAGTTATATTTAATTTGGTTAAGCCCCCCTTTTAAATTGACTTATTTGACAAACTGTTCTGTTCGTCACTTGGTACGCTTGAAGCTATTACGAGTTCACGAGACAATTACCAGAGCCCAGGTAGGTTACCTTGAATCCCAAGCTGTACATAGAAGTCTTGATATAGCGTAGAAAGTATATTCTACAAACACCCAGCAATCAAAATACAATCAAACACACAAATCTCGTTTATTTATACATCACAGAAAGGTCCATGGGACAGTTACGAAAATAGCACACTAAAATACACAGCAGTCAATCACAGCCATGGATTTCCCTGGTAAGAAATGAAATCTCAAAGTCAACTGATCAGCGCATGCTTGCAAACGTGAAATCCAAAATAAGGCATTTATCAAGCGAGTTCTGGGGATCTAACATCCCCAACAATATTTATATTGGCCTTAATTGCTGGCTTAATTGTTCTTCGCTAAAATAATCCAAGGCTCATTCATTTTCCTATGTATACATACGTACATTTTAATCCTAATCACTCACTCACTCTCTCGCTTGCTTGCTCTTCGGCGCTCGCATATCATTTTCATGGTTTTGTGATCTGTGTGTGGTGCGATGATAGACGTAATCAGCACTTCGTATTCATCTCGTAAATTGTATATACCGTCGTGTGTTATCTAGTAACGGTTATCAGGACGTGCAGTTTACGAAGTTTAAGAAATTATATCGAATACCAATCACCACAGAATTGGTAAGCCCACATCCATCACATGATGCTTGAAGCATGTTAAATAGACACCGCAAGGAAACCTCTTAGGGTTCTACTTAATGATAATGAGGCTAAGAATATACTCCATGAACAACAAGAAAGAGAGTTAGGCAGCCATGTAAGTGATTTCCATCCGGAGGCAGGTTGGAATGATATCCAAAAGGCCGTGTAAACAGCAGTGATATCTTCTAGTAAGGTAAACCATAAGGCTAGGATGAAACCATGGATCTCAGTAGCATCCACCGAGCTGATAGAGGCTCGAAAACTCATCCCGCCTGGCTCTGAACATGATGAAGAGCGAAGTAAGCTTAAGCGCAGGCTGATAAAAAGCCTACGTAACGATCGTGAACAGTGGTGGGTGGCGAAAGCAAACACGATGGAAAAGGCAGCGGCGATAGACAATAACAGACAGTTTTACCGACTTATCAAGGAAACCGGTATTAGGAACCCGAATGTGAGTGAGACTATCTCGGAAAAGGATGGTCTTATTATCCATTCTCAATCCAGGAGACTGAATCGATGGGCAGAACACTTTAGAGATCAGTTCAAATGGCCTCGAGCCACTCTTCGGTTGCCCACGATCCCCAGTCATCCTGAGTGGCAAACCGACGTAAGTTCCCCGACTCTTTATGAGGTTGGGAAAGCGTTAGGAAGTCTGAAACGAGGACGATCTGCAGGTCCTGATAGACTGACCCCTGAGATATTTAAGGATGGTGGTCCAGTTTTAGCAGCTAGGTTGACTGAAATCTTAGGTAGAATCTGGGAACTGGACGTAATCCCATCCTACTGGTCTGAATCCCTAATTGTCTCAATCTATAAGAAAGGACACAAGTCTTCTTGTGACAATCACAGGGGAATAAGTCTAACTAATAAAGTATCTAAAATATTGGCCTAAATAACACTTCGACGCTTAACGAAAGCTTGTGAAGAGCAGACTCGAGAAAACCAGTCGGGTTTTCGACCTGGACGTTGTTGTATAGACCACATCTTCACAGTACGACAGGCCATGGAACACAGGCACACATTTAGGCGCCCTGAACTAGTGATACGGAGTGAAGTAGTCGAACGTGTAGACCGCTTGACTTATCTGGAAAGTCTGATCTGTGCTGATGGCTTGGTGACTGACGAAATCTCAGCACGGATACAGAAGGCTCGATTGGCTTTTGCCAACCTGCGTCACTTATGGCGTAGGCGAGATATCCGTTTGCTGACTAAAGGACGACTGTACTGTGCAGTGGTTCGCTCCTTCTTACTTTATGGCTGTGAAACATGGCCAGTGAGAGTAGAGGACATTCGTAGGTTACTAGTAATCGATCATAGCTGTCTTCGAAGCATCGCTTGTATATCCTGGGACAACCGAGTGAGCAACTCTGTTATTAGGAAACGGGTGCTAGTTAAGAATGGCTGATCAATAGATGAAGTAATGAAACTTCATCAGTTGATGTGGTTGGGACATGTGTTACGTATGCCTAACCACCGACTGCCTCGACGAGCTATGTTTTGTAGTGTAGGAGTAGGTTGGAAGAAAGTTAGGGGCGGCCAGACCAAAACATGACGGAAATCGATGAAGTCGCTGACAAATGGACTGAGTCATGTTGGTAGATGTAGGCTACCTGGTTGGGGTCCGTGAGATGATAATAATCGATGGTTAGAAACCTTGAATGACACGGCTCAAAACCCTTTGAAATGGAGCTGGTGCATTTATTCTTTGTGTTCTCTCAAATCCTAATCTTCTGGATTCTTCAACACCTCCACTTTTCTCTTTATAAACTTATCTCACTAAATTATACTTCTTGAATAATATCTTGGAACCCTAATCTTCTCTATTACCTGTAGTACTCTTACTAATCTCTACCACTATGGGGTTTGAAGTGACTATTACATCTCTGTGCTAATGTGATATGGCAGTTTGGACTGATGTACATACGTACATACGAAGTTCTACCTTGTTACCGACTGACTGATAGGTATGCTTTTGTACGAACTGTTACAGACGGGTAACATTTTGATCGAATATTTTGATCGTTGTTATGGCTTCAAACCGTTTGCAATTGCGCAGTAGCATCCATTCTTTGTGTTCTCTCTACTACTGTGAGATTTGAATTGACAATTTTGTCTGTGTGCTAATTTGGTATGTCAACTTGAACTGATGTATGCACGTACGATGTGCTTGCTACGTTATAACTGACTGGCTGACTGACAATGATGCTTATAAGTAGTATGCAGTGAATATGCAGCAGACAGTCACCCTGAAGTTGGTACGGACGAAAACAGTGCGTTGTATCCGGATGCATAGTTCGATCTAAATATCTGGAGGAACAGAAGACATGTGCAAGAGGATCGCTGAAAATACACTTGCTTTGTAAATGGATATTTTGTGTTACCGCTAGTAATAATTACAGTGACCAGGTTGTCCTGTTGGTCAATGGTTCATTTCGATACTTGAATTTCGTTGGTTCCATCTCCGAAAGGGGTTGTCCATGTTGACTTCTGATAAATCCGGGTTTTTTTAAATGCCATTCGAAATGAGACACATCTAGGATGAATAAAACAAACTTTAATGTTCAACTGTGTGTGCGAAAATTTATTCGCTGATCAATCAGCAGTAACAGTAACAAACAGCATTTTAAACTGTATACATTAATTTACTTTTCAGTTCAACTAACGGGAAACCAGCTATTATTTATTCAAAATTAGGCAATGGTTGTGGTATTTTAAGTGGTGTTCACATGGAATATGATCCATATTTATTGGAAAAACAATTATCTAAGAACCGTGATGCTGAAACGAATAGCAATGTCGTGGTGGATACCATGAAGACGTTTGAATTGATTGAAATATTGAAGAAAAATAATTCAACTCGTTTGCAATTATTTGAAAATTTAATTAATTTACTGTTGAATACAGGATAATGATTCAATCTCAGTGTAATCCCTTCTCATTCCTCACTTGTCCTTCTTGTTAGTTTAATCGTTTTTTTTTACCTCGTCCGTTCTTTTTTTGTATATTGAACTATACTACTTAAATAATATTCAATAGTGTGCAATATGATCGATCACATGTACTTCTAATCATCAACATTTTCATATATATCCAATGTTTGAATCTATTTTCTTGTTTGTAATGGTTATGTAAAATGGCTTCAGTTCTGAAATTTCGAATGTATAGTGTTTTTTTTTCAGTTTCTACATTAGTAATATTTGATTTAAGTTTTGTCTTTTGAACGAATGTTCAAGTTGTACATTGTTGTGTTTAACGAGTTTGTTTTTAGTATACAATTTCTGTGAGATTACATACATGTTATGTACTGATGTCATTTGAGTCTGATAGTGATATGTAAGCTCTTTCATAGATGCATGTACAAACCAGTTACTTGAGTTAGTTAATCGAATCAAAAATCTATGCACTTATTAGAAGGTAGATGATACATATCCCTTAGAAAATGAAGCTACATTTCTAACCCGAAGGTGGATGTCTATAACATGAATTCGTCAGTATGTTTTCATTTATCATTCAGATTTTGGCCTCGTGTGCTATTGCAGGTATGAGAGTGGATGTCATTTACCGGTTGCCCACAGTATGGAAGGGTGTTGTCTCCTGATAAACCTGAAAAGGTGATAGGATTGACGTTGGTCTTAGTGACCTGGTAGCGTGACCGCAGAGCCCAAGGAATAACTGTTTGAGGCCGGTCACGCTTGACCTTTTTTTACTGAAGGATTTTAGCGTGTTAGCTCCTCTTCTCAAGTGGCCTTACCGCCGGAGATGGAAATCTGTGATGTAAGGTGAGGTATTGTAGTGAAGGAGAACACAGGTGGAGCAACCGAATTGTATTTAACGAAAATTACGGAGTTACTCAGTAAAATAGGAAAACCATATCGTAAATCGTTCATTTGCAAAATATCAGTCCATCATATCGAACTGGACTGTTCCTGTTGCAAAACATCAATCGATTGTCACTATTCATGCGTTTCATACAAATTCCATTGTGTTCTAACTCTTCCTTTCTTGATCTTCCCTCATCTTCTGCTGCCAGACATTACGTTGACACTCACGTCATATACTACTTCTAAGTAGCTCACACCACAGTATGACATTTTTAGGGTCGACATTTTCTAAACTTTTCCTTCCTTGTGACAAGGCAACATCCCTTGAGATGCCGGTTTTCCAGTGAAAACACCTTACTACTGTCATACCTGTCTATAGTCAGCAGTAAGACTTCGCCGTCATACCTTGGGTCGCCGTTTTTAGTCTTAACATTCTGCAGTCGGCCTGCTTCTTGTGGTTGGACCTAAAGGAACATATATTCTAGCTAATATAGTTCGATTGAATCATCATGATAAGCAAATCCAACCACCACGTCAGTGTAGCAGCCACGGTCTGGTATCGTTCAGATAATGTGTGATTGACCCATTGTATCAAAAAATACTGAGCATTGAATGACAAATCGATAGGCCTTATTGAGCAAACTAGTTTCTTTTCATCTAACAGCTTACTGACCTTAGTCCCATTATCACAATACAATCTGAGCAACTGAGTTTGACACATTTTTGGGAACATTATAGCCCAACATTTTAAACTTACTAACCAAGATACTTTGTCTATACAATTTATTTATTTAATTGTAAAGTCTAAGTAAAGAATTTAAAAAGTTGAACGTAGAGTAATAGATAAATCACTTTGCAAGGTAAAACAAAGTACAATCCACCGATACAATCGTGGTAGATTACATTGCGCTGACAAGAAAGTCAACTGCCAATCGATAATTGTTTTGTAAAAGAAAATTGTTGAAATATTCACCACTGCAAAATTCCATACTGTACTAAACATCCAGCATTATTGAATCAATCGGAGTACATATAGAACACAAAATAATTGTTAACAAACAGTTTTACTGTATTAACAGTTGTCTACAAACAATACTGCAGATCCGTTCGTCAGACATCCTCAGCAACAACCTACTGTGGTAAAGAACAAACCATATTCTAGTGGAGGAGGAAGTCAGGAAGAAATTCTGGATGTGGATAGGACACACATTGAGGAAAGCATTAAACTGAGTCACAAGACAAGCCTTCACTCCAAACTCTCAAGGCCAAAGGAAAAGAGGAAGACCCAAAAACACATTATGCCAAGAAACGGAGACAGACATGAATAGCAGTTTGTGGTGTTTCATTCTCTGAGCTCAGAGAACGCGAAACATCACAACAATCATCCCACTTGAGCTACAGATTTTCTCCACCATCATCCCATGAATAACACTTGTATAGAATTGGAAAGGAAGGCTCAACGCAGAATAGGCTGAATAATCCTGGTCAGGCGACCTTCACACCATTCGAAGTCACCAGAGTAGATAAGTGGGTGAGCAACAACTATATGACATTGAATAAAGTCGTTATAATTGATATTTTTATAAAAAAAAAAAGAATCTCCATACATTATTATCACTATTCTTACTTCAACAGTATTGCTTTATATAATCAGTTTTTTTTTTCAAAAATTCTAACATTCATTATTGTTTCACCATGATTCTATTGATTTTATTCTTTATATTAATACTCATCAACTCATTGATCAGTAGTTTACAGTTTGAAATACACTTTTTGTTTTCTTGTGTATTCCACTGACACAATATCATTACCTTATTTAAAGCAATCTAGATTATGTGGTGTGTGTGTGTGTGTACGTTGTCTTTGTTACTTTCAAACAAACAAAAAATACAGTTGATTTAATTGAGAATTGAATTTTAAAAAAAACAACAACAAAACAATGAAATTCTTTTATTATATAATTACATGAATAATCATAATTTAACATTGAAACCATTGAATTCCAATTGACATATTGATTATTGTCAATTATCAATGATGAACATGATTGAATGAACTGATATGCTACTATTTGAAAAACATGATAAGAATATTTTATAAACGATCAATAAAATATTACTAGAAAAGGAACACGCGCACACACACACCGCACACCGCATGACATTGCTTACAGCGCGTAAAATAAATACTTGAGTTACTACACATTGGAAAGAACATTCTAGAAGGAATTTTTTCGCACACACACATTCGTTTCTGCCAGTTTCAAACTGTGTTAATCAATATGTATATGTATGTAAAGTGAAAACCGAAAATTAAAATTCATGAAGAAGAAGAAAAACAAAAAAATCATCACTTATTGTTTTAATTACTCATTTGATCAAGGTGGTAAAGTTAACAGATTTGGCGGTAAACCAACCATTTCACGTGTTACATCCCATAATTTACGACTGAGTGATTCATTTAAAGCGATTTCAGTTAATTCTTCTCTTTCACAATTGGAATAATAACCACCTGGTACAGGATCATTGATTAAAGCACAATATAATGCAGTTTGTGCACCTTCCCATGGACTTATACCGAAAGTACGTATAAATAGCTAAGATTTCACAGAATGAATGAATGAATAGAGAGAGTTAAACAAAGACACAAAAAAACACAAGACACACAAATTAGTTTCAATATTCAATTAGGTAAATTTTTTTTATATTAAAAGTAGTGTAGTACAATTGGCAGTTGATTTCAAACTTAAGGTTTGTAACCGATCACGAAGTAATTGTCCTCTGAGTGTGTATTAACCATTTGAATAGAATGAATAAGATTCAAACTGAAGGTCTAGTCGGCGACTTTACCATTGAACTATTCGGACTTGTACTGATTACATTTTATGCTGACTACTTTCAAAACTCTGATAATAGTCAGGTTTCTGGTGGTGGTGTTTGGTTCTCTGAGCTGAATGTGTTTTAGTTGTGGAGCTTTCAGTGTTATTCTTCTGAACAACATCATCAGCAGCACAAACTTCAGATAGAAGAAGTGAAGTATTCGAATCTCTCCACGTTTGACCTGGAGCTAGTTCTGCTAACCTCGATCTCTATTGGTTGCTGTTGACCTTAAACTTGTCGTTGTTTGCACCTTTGTTTTGATTGCATCCCCCCTTTTGATCTGTTTCTTAATCCTATGTTTGCGTATGATTAGGTTAATGTTGATGCGTCTGTTGATTACTGATTGACCTGAGTGCCAAGCTTCTAAAAATTCCCTAGTGTTCTTTGCCCTGTATTTCCACATTGTTCCAGTCAAATGTGTGTCCATATTTCGAATACTTCACTTCATTCTATCTGAAGTTTGTGCTGATGATGTTGTTCAGAAGAAGAACAATGAAAGCTCCACAATCAAAACATCCAGCTCAGAGAACCAAACACCATAACCATCCACCTGAGCTACAAATCTTCTCTACCATCTCAAAGTCACGTTTCTAGTTCACACACTAGTTAGGCACTCAGATTCTAAAAATACCAGTTGTTAGTAACTGTAATTGAAGACAAAACATAGCTGTAGACTTTTCTGGCAATTGCCTTCAACACCGGAAAATTAGTACACACACTGATCATATCATAACTTCACTAACGAGATGCGTATCAATAATGTAAACCGCTTTATCGTTAGTCAGTGGATTCATTTAGATGATATTTTCTGAAAAAAATGTTTAGCTTATTACAAAGCATTACTGAGAAGAGAATGAAACAAGCATCAAGTATTCCGATAGTTATTACTGATTTTTTAGTGACAAGAAAAACAAATCACATCAAAATTAAACTTTTCATTGAATATTGAACAATTAATGTTGATAAACGTCGGTGAAGATTGTTGAGCTGCGTTGAAATCATGAACTGACAAATGACAGACTACCACTGGAGGCACTAGATGACGGTTTCATCCTAATATGTGACTCATCAGCACTGTACATCAAAGTAAGACCCAGCAAACGAGATTAAGCGGCTGTAAGAAGGATGATTAAGTTTCATGTGTGGTTCTCGTTTGCAGGCGTTGCGGATGTTCACTACTGATGAGTCCCATAGGAAACGATCGTCAAATGCTCTCAGGTTCCCAATGGTAATTTAACAAAACAATCGCCACAATCTTTTGATAATAATTAGTATGTGCGTATTCCTGACTAGCTTCGTGAGTAAATGCTTTGTCTGAGTTCTAGTGAAAAATCATAATTAGTGTAGTTAAACCATGTCAGGTGTGAGGCAGTTCACTCATCGAACATAATGGATGAAGTCTAGCAATATCATGTATTAACTGAAGTTAAGCATCAACACTGCTGAATGCTGAATCAGCGATCAAAAAGTTATGCTTTAGTGCATGAGACTGAAGGCTGTGGTTTCGATTCCTATGTCTGTTGGGTCATGGATGCGCACTACTGATAACGCACATACTGCAACATAACAGCCTCCAGTTGCTTTCAGATTTCTATTATTGATGAAACATTGATCGGGTTCTATATCTCAATAAAATAATTATCAAGTTTCCTTAAGTCCATTAAAAACTGTAGGCGTAAACACCGGTATCATATGGTATATATATATATATATATGTATACATGTATATACATATACTTTTCTGGCATGATGCTGTGATTGTCATTTCATTCTCATTGAAACGAACACAATGTGATGCCTCCTGTTTTCTTTTTTTTTTCATCAACGTGATCGACTAATAATCATGATCACAGTAGAAAAAAAACAAAGCGTTTAAGTTTTTAATTTTGTTAATAGTATTTGTGCTAGAATATTTCAAATCACAATAAAAAATGTTACCTACATCAAAGCTATGATATTTAACTGGTGTAAACAGAAAAACGAATCACCTACTTATCGACTGATTTTGTATGAAGAACTCGAACTAACTCATGTACTTATTTGCATTACGGGGTTGTGAAGATTGTTAAATTACACATTTTTGAAACCATGAATCGATCAATGTTAGACCACCATTAGAAATCTGGAAGCACTGGACGGCAGTTTTGTCCTAGTATGGGACTCATCAGCAGTGCGCATCCACGACTCTTGCACTCCGCAGGATTCGAACCCAGGACCTTCGGTATTGTGCGCGAACGCCCTAACCGTCAGACCACTGAGCCGGTATCTAATGGTGTTAACGTCTAACTCGATCAAATTCATGGAGTTGCGCAACCTCATACACACTGCTGAGGAGTCTCATACTAGGACGAAACGGCTGTCCAGTGCTTCCAGGTTTCTAGTGGTGGTCTAACATTGATCGATTGATTGTTTCAAAAAATCATGTACTTATTGTTAGGCAAAAATCCATCGTGAATTTACATTGTACAAAATGGAGTTTTTTAAATAAAAAAAGCGGTTTTATAATATGATTGTCACAATGAATAATGAATGATGGCATGTTGATGCTTAGATATTGTTGTACTGTTTGCACAGGCTTGTATTTTAAGACTATAAAAAGATTGTAACTTGTAACTCTCTACATATATTTGAGCAGCTTAACTGATGAGCACGATGGATTTGATGCAGTATTGAAGACATGGGCAGCGCTTTTACAAGTGAACAACATCTGCAACTCAAAACAACTATTAATCAACACAAAAGTCGCATTTTTCAATACATACATCAAGACAGTAGTTCTATTGTATTGAGAGGAAACTTGGGGAATTACCGAGGCAGTTTACTTCGGATTCCTTGGCCAAACACTATCAGCAACAACCTACGACTGTGGAAGACAACAAACCTCATTCCTCTGACTAAGGCAGAAATCTGGAAGAAGCGCTGGAAGTGAATAGGACACCTAGTGAAGAAAGCACCCAACTACGTTACAAAACAAGCCCTCACTTGGAATCCTGAAGGTCGAAGGAAAAGACGAATACCCGAGAAATGGAGACAGACATGAGAAGAACGAACAACATTTGGATAGAACTGGAAAGGAAGGCTCAGGATAGAGTAGGTTGAAGAATGCTACTCGAATTTCCTTAGGAAGTAGGTCACTGATGAGCACATTTTGAATTGATGAGTATTATACAATAACAAAGTCGAATTCCAACTAGGCGGTCTAGAGTCTAGACGTCCACATATACGACCGATGGTCCTGGGTTCGATTTCCGCATGCGGAGGTTGTGGATGAACAATACCACTGATCAGTTCCATATTAGGACAAAACGGCTATCCGGTACTTCCGGGTTTTTGATAGTGGTCTAATAATGATCTATTTATGATTTCACTACAAATTATCTTATTTTTGTGATTAACTATGACATGATGATTGAATTTAAGTTGTTAGATGACTTCATTCAGTTCAGAGACAAAATTCCATCGTGAGTTAACATAATTCAAAGAAAACTATCGGGAATCAGTAAATGCTAGACATCTTTTTTCATCTTATTTGAAACAACAATGTACACCTCCGACCGTGCAAAGATTTGATTTTATGTGAAACTTCGGCTACTGTGACCAGTTTAGTGCACTGAAACAAGTGAAATTGATACACTTTTCACTTCCAACTATCGATCGGATTAGTAATCATCCATAAGAACTCTTAACTTGTAATTGATTGTTATATTCCGTTTTTCTTTATGAAATCATGAATCGACAAATGTTAGACCACTGTTAGGACAGCCGTTTCGGGCTGGTATGGAACTCATCAGTAGCAGTGCGCATCCACCACTCTCGCAACTTGCAGGATTCAATGTCAGGACCTTCAGTCTTGTGCACGAACCTCTGGATCTAATGGTGTCATTTTATTACTTCGATCAATCCACAGTCTTGCGCAAACTCATCCACTATCTTCGGTGAGCACACTGCTTCACTCTTGAACAGGGTTGAACTCCACTGGTCACGACTTCTCATTAGAACTCAGAGAAACTTCCTCGCGGAGCTAATCACTGGTGAAAACATGATAATTTGTATGATACGGTTGTGGAGATTGTCGGGTTACAATATAGAATTTCGCTAAACACAATTATTTCTTTCTAAAATGCATAGTTAGCAGTGGAATTTTAGGATGTGCATTTCGTCCTATCCAAAACTCGTCAGCTGTATGTAACTATCAAAACCCGTTGTTGAAAATTTGAAATTAATTCATTCTTAGTTAGAGAATATGAACATCCACTGAGGAATGTCTGGACATGGCCATTTTAACCTAGCTTTATTTAAAATGAATAGAATCTGACTAGCAGCGGAATCTAATCAAAACTGATCAATCAATAATCTAAACCACTCCTTAAATTGATTTAACTCATTTCTTTAAATATGTAATACACGTTCTTTTTACCTTGAACTCATGAACGAATCATTGTTACTAGATCACCATTAGAAAACTGACAGTACTGAAAGACAGCCATCTCGTCCTAGTATGGGACTATTCATCAGTGCCAGTGCGTATCCACAACTCCTGCTACTTGCAGGATTCGACATTAGGACCTTCAGTCTTGTGCACGGTATGCCTAACCTCTGAATCAATGAACTGGTATTCAATCTAAGGACTTTCGTGCAATTTCACCTATTATTTATCTTCGGAAGGTAACTTATTGCCCATACCCGATCGAGTTGAAATCCACTGATCATAGCAATATAAAAAATGATTATCATACAAATACAATTGACCAAATCATGAATGAATCATTGTTGTTAGACCACCATTAGAAACCTGAAAGCATTGAAAGTGCAGCCATCTCGTCCTACCTTGTATAGGACTCATCAATAGCAGTGCGCATCCACAACTCCTGCTACTCGCAAGGTTCGAATCCAGGAGCTTCGATCAAGCGCGAGAACGCTTAATCTCTACATCAGTCAGACGGCGGGCATCCAACAGTGTTCATGTCTAACTCTGATCAATTTAAGAATTTGGCGTAACATCACCAATGGTGTCTACTTACACCCGAACAAGGTTGAAATCCACTGGTCAAGTCTTTTATTTTTAACAATAAATAAAAAAAATGATTATCATATCAACAAAATTGACCAAACATTTCTTTCTTACTTGATATCTATGATCTCCAGTATAAGATATTTCAGCACGTACAGCACCAGGATGTACAGCCATTGGAATCACAGTTAAATTATCAAAATGTTTAGCTAATTCACGTATATATAATATATTGGCTAATTTCGATTGATTATACGCTTTAAATGGTCCATATTGATCACCGCGTAAATTTAAATTTTCAAAATCAATATTACCTTGTTGATATAGATTCGAGGCCACGATGATTACACGTGATGGTTTGCCTTGATACAATAATGGTAATAATAACTCAGTTAATAATATTGGGCCTAAATGATTTACACCCATTTGTAATTCAAAACCATCATGTGTTTCCATATAACTTGTCGCCATGATACCAGCATTATGTATGAGAATGTCTAGCCGTATAAATTGTTGTAGAATATCTTTAGCAAATTGACGAATTGATTCTAAACATGCTAAATCGAGATGTTTCACAATTAACTAGTATGAAAAAAAAACAAAGAATATATAAGAGATAATCAAAAGAACACTGTATGTATGTGTGTGTGTGTGAGAGAGAGGCGGTTAAAAGTTACCGAATGAAAACGATGAGAAATGGTTGAGAAATATCATATGAACTGGCTGTGAAGTTAGACATGAACACTTTTGCGTGTTGGCTGTCTGAGTAATCGACAGGTTAGTTAAGTGTACACACGTACACACATGAGATTGAAGGTTTTCGGATCGATTCCTACATGTGAGGGTCAGTCAGTCAGCTACCATGTAGAACTTCGTACGGATGTACATCAGTTCAAATTGCCATAGCACATTAGTGCACAAATGTAATTGACAATTCAAATCCCATTGTGGTACAGGTAGTAGAAGTATGAGCAGTAATCAGAAAGATTAGGGTTTGAAGATATTATTCAGGTAGTATAATCTAGGGAAATAAATTTGAGAAGTGAAGGACGAAGGTCATAAGGTATTTGGAAGAGAAAAGAATTTGAGAGAAGAAATTAGAGTAGATGCGCTCGCGCTATCAGAAACGATTTTCAAGGTCTCTAACCATCGATTATTATCCTCTCGCGGACCTCAACCTGTTAGCCTACATCTCCCAACATGAGTCAGCCCTCTTTTCAGTGACTTCATGCATTTGTGCCATGTTTTGGTCTGGCCATCCCTAGATTTCTTGCAACCTACTCCTACACCAGAAAACATAGCTCGACGAAGCAGTCAGTGGTTAGGCATATGTAACACATGTTCCAACCACCTCAACTGATGGAGTTTCAATATTTCTTCTCTTGACCTGCCATCCTGACCTTACTCGGTTGTCCCAGAATTTACCAACAATGCTTCTAAGACACCTTCCACGCGTGAGGTATGTGAATGAGCACCGCTGATGAGTCCCATACTAGGATGAACTAGTGTTCTGGTGTTTTCAGGTTTCTAATGGTAGTCTAGCTAGGAAATCAGTTCTTGATTTTGATGAAGCACAACAATCTTCAGAATACTATCCTGATTGAAAAATTATAACTGTTTGTCATGGATTTTTAATTACTCTGTAGGCAATTCGTATATTAATCTCCATGGCTGAATAAGGGTTTGTAGTACGATGGTTAATTAGATCGATCTACTTATAGTAATGGCCATTATAATTAATATCGACTTGGATTATGTTTGATGCCAGGAGGATGTTATTTCAACTAGAAAAATTTCGATATAAAATATAACACTTGGAGTAGTTCTATTCTATGTTTGCAAAACTTGACACATTCTCTGTTGGTAGTAGTTCTTGACATTCAAGCCCTAACTTAAAACCATCTTGGTCAGGTATTGGAGATAGACATAGGAAGAATGAACCACGATTGGACAGAACTAGAAAGGAAGGCCAAGAACAGAGTAGGTTAGTGGATGTTGGTCGGAGGCCTATACTTTATTGGAAGTAACATGCGTAAGTTCTTTATATTCGTCCATTGTTGTTTCGGAAGGATCGTTCATAGATTGAGACAGCTTTATTTTATTCGTAATGAGATCTGCCACTGTTTGTCGTGGCGTATTTATGATAAATGAGTTGGCATCATGAAACATCCATGACAATGGTCCAAAACATCGTTTTTTTTAAATGTTATCCCAATTTCTGTCAGGGGGTTTAGGAAGGATTTGATTTTGACCGATTTGGTCTCGTGTGCTGTGACGATTATGAGGGCGGTTATCACTTCCCGGCTGACCACACCGTGGAAGGTTGTTTCTTGAGGAATCTGAAAAGGAAGGTATATTAGCATTGGTCTTAACGAACTGAGAGCGTGACCGCAGAGTCCAAGGGACAACTGTTAGAGGCCGGTCACACACGGCCTTTTTATGAAGGATTTGTTGAGTATTAACTCCACTCTTGAAAGCTCTTAGTGGGCACCCTTACCGACGGGGACGGAAATCCGTCACGTAGGGTGAGGTGTGACATTTCTGGAGTCGACCCTTTCTAACTCTTCCTTCCTTGTGAGAAGGGAGCATCACGGCAGATGATGGTTGTCCGAGGGAAACACCTTACTGCTGTCACACACCTCTGCAGTCAGCAGTACGACTTCGCCCTCAGACCTTGGGTAGGTGCTTATAGTATGATCGTTCTCCAATCGACCTGCCTGGCATTGTAGAACCTTCAGGAACATAAATCTCAGCCAATATAGCTCAGTTGGGTCATCACGATAGACAAGCCCGACCACCACGTCAAGGTAGCAGCTACGGTCGGGTCCCATTATCTGTCACACGCTACAGATTATTCATCCATAAGAAGACTAAATGAGACAAGCAGATTCAGCGGATACCAATTAATGACTAAAATCATCACGCATTTAAACTATACTGTTCATTTAAAATAAAAAACTAATAAATGTTAAATAGCGTAGTTACCTGTGCTGTTTTAATCGGTTCAAGAAATGGTTCCACTCCAGGACCAGCTGGTGATGTTTTCCATTTCTCTTGACTACGATCACCATATCGATCCAGTAGTAATTCTTTGGCCAAATAACCTTTTTCTAAATCACGACATGCCATAATTACAGTACAACCACGTCTAGCTAATTCACCAGTCAATTCAAGTCCACAACCAATATTCGCTCCAGTGACAATAACTAATTTTCCATCCAGACGACCAGGAAGTCGACATATACGATTGGTCACTTTGAGTTTTTGCATTTTATTGTTGTCTTTTTTTGAGAATTATTTAATTAATTAATTAATTAATTATTAATTCACACAATTTTAATGGTGAAATTTAAAAAAATGTGTCAATTTTAAATTGAGTATCTAATTTTTTTTGTTTTAATGCTCAATTTTCAGCTAGCCAATCAAAATCTAGCGTCATTCAAATTAATCTATTTCGTATATTGTATGATTTAATCATTTGCCAATGAAGACATGTGATGTGAATTCATTGACAAGAAGAATATGTAGTTAACTCCTTCACAGACACACACACGCACACATACACAAACACACTGATAGATGATGAACACAGTACAACAGAGAGAGATACAGGTGAATATAGATTTTTGTGTTTAGGGTAACTTTTAAAAACAATATTTTACAGACATTGAGATAAAAAACAGACAATCGCTCCAGCAGTTATAGTAATTGTTTTTTTGACAATGGTAGTGAATTTTTGAAACAATGAATCGATCAATGTTAGACCACCATTAGAAACCTGGAAGCACTGGAAGACAGCTGTTTCGTCCTGGTATGGGACTCATCAGTAACAGTGCGCATCCATGACTCCTGTGCAATGATCGATTCATGATTTTAAAAAATGTGTAACTTAACCATCTTCAGAACCTGTGCTCACTAGTGACTAGCTTCGTGAAGAATCCTCTCCGATTTCTACTGGGAAGTCGTAACGAGTGAAGTTCACAACCTGTTCGGGTGTAGACAGTAACTACCGAAGACTGTGTATGAAGTTACGCAACTCCGTGAGTTAATCGAGTTAGACATTAGTACTGCCAAATACCGGTTCAGTGGTCCAGAGGTTAGGCGCTCGCGCACAAGATCCCCAAAACTCACTTTTTAAATGCTTTATCTTGGATTTCACGTTTGCCAGAATGGGATGATCAGTTGACCTTGAGATTTCATTTTCCAACAGTAAAACCCTTGGCTGTGATTGGCTGCTGTGTATTTTAGTGTGCTATTTTCGTAACTGCCCCAAGGACGTTTCTATGTTGTATAAATAAACGAGAGTTGTATGCTTGATTGTACTGTGATTGCTGGGTGCTTGCAGAATATACTTTCTACGCTTACCAAGCCTTCTGTTTTGCAGTTTGGGATTCAAGGTAGCCTACCTGTACGCTGGTTCGTTGTCTCGTTCGCGTCTATCGACTAAAGTGAACTCGAAATAGCTTCAAGCGTACTTAGTGACGAACATAACAATTATGATATTACATATACTGGGAAGCACGGGATACGGCGGGAAAATAAGACGCAGCTAGATGATCTAGACTTCGCAGATGATCTGATTCTTATATTCCAAGCACAATAACAAGTGCACGAGAAGACGACCAGCATAGGAGTAGCCTTAGCAACAGTAGGTCTCAACATATACAAAAGGGAAAGAGCAAGATTTTCAAATACATGATTTACAACCGCATTAGAGAACCATAGAATAAGCGTTAGACAATATTTTATTCTACACATTTATAAACAATCATACCCAATGTGTCCAGAGAGTATATATTGACACCAATAAGAGGCAATGACAGTAGAGTTTTAATTGGTCTATGGGTGCGATACCTGCTTTTCCATACTCGATGACCAATCACATTCCACTTTCAATTATCACACAATACTAACCAGAAACAGTTTTAAACAAATTGTTACAATTAGTAACAGCCATAGGAATTGGAACATTCAACCGCAATCAGGAGAAAAAATTTTGCAACACACTCTTCGTCCCTTCTTTGGCCAGATCTTTTCACATTCTGTTCATATTCTTTACTATTTAATTATTGGCAGAATTATTATAGGGTAATAGTTATAACGTTTTGTAACGATTATTTTAAGTCTGCTTTTCCATGTTTGACCTACTACTTACTACTACTGTGTTGCGCGCTACTTATAAGTAGTATATGACGCGAGTGTAAACGTAATGTCTGGCAGCAGAAGATGGGGGAAGATCAAGAAAGGAAGATTGGGAACACAATGGAATTTGTATAAAACGCATGAATAGTCAAATGTCAGACAATGGATTGATGATGGATTGAAGGTTTGCAAATTAACGATTTACGATTTGGTTTTCCTATTTTACTAAGTAACTCTGTAATTCTCGTTTAATACAATTCGGTTGCCCTCCACCTTCTCCTTCACTACACTACTACTTCAGATGTTGAATTATGATCAAGAACTTTTGCTATTGTATTCCTATTATTCTTACCACTTTCGGTACACCTGTCTTATTATACAATCAACTGATACTTCTATCTCTTACATGTGATTACGTTATCGATTGCAATGTTGTTGTTGACTCATAAATTGCCTTAATTAGTTTACACATTTTCGAAACTATGAACCGATCAATGTTAGACCACCATTAGAAACCTGGAAGCACTGGACGGCCGTTTCGTCCTGGTATGGGACTCCTCAGCAGTGCGCATCCACGACTCCTGCACCCCGCAGGATTTTCATGTATATTGGAAAGGAAATCCTGCTGACAATCTTATTGGAAACAATAATATTATTCACTTATATCTGAGTATTGTGTATTCATAATGGAGATCCTTAATATTCAGTAGATTTGTAATATTATCGTTCGTCACCATCAGTCATCAACAAGGTGATCCACCTTGACACATCTACGTGGAACGGGATGATAAGTATGAACATTCACTAAGATCTCCCTCTTCAGTTGCTCCTAAATAGTCATGTGTGCCTAGCCACTACCACGGAAATCGAAGACTGAATTGCTTGGAGACGTCTGATGAACGGCCTATGCCCCATGAGGAGTAACAAGGATAAGTAGGTAAGTAATTGTTGATTCGTATCATCTCTGATTAATAAGTAGCAACAATCTGCTGCTTGGAAAAAGAAACCAGATTCCAGCGGAGGAGAAAATGAGGAAGAAGCGGTGGAAGTGGATAGGACACACAGTGAGGATAGCACCCAACTGCTTCTTAAGACAAGTCCTCACTTGGAACCCTCAAATGTAACATTTATCTTATATTGATAAATGTATTATTATTGTATGTGAATGTCGCATCATTTTATCCTTTGCACTGTGATGATTCATCACACATTCACATTGACTACACATCACGTGAACACATGTGAAAATCATGTGATCAATGGTTTCAATGATACATTCCTTTCTCTCTTCCTTTCTTGTTTTCATTCATTCATCGTATCTGATACCTTTGTCGTTTTTTGTCGATCAATGTATATATGTTTATATGTAACAAGATTACGAGAAATACTGAAATTATATGATAAACTATTCAAGTCTAATTATATTCGCCTTACGATGATCTACCATAATGGTATTACGTAACATGATGTTAAAATAAAAGGCAAAATGATGACAGTGAGTGATTTATTGATTATGGCGATGATTGAGTTTCAGTTGAAATTATGAATCGATTATTTGTTTGAGCACCAATAGAAATCTGGACGGTTGTGGATGTGCATTGCTGATGAGGACAAGATGGCCATCGTTCAGTGTTCTAATGGTAGTCTAACATACTGATCGATTTATGATTTCAAACGTTAAACGAATTTCACAATTAGACAATTAATAATAATAATGAGTATCAGTAGTTATTGGTTGTGTTTTACTAGTTTGTAATTTACTAAAAGTAGTCATAATAAAATATTGACAATTGAACAATACAATTGAAACATCGAATCCATCCATAAATCACAGATCTTGTGATAATGAGAACGAATATTTTAGACCATTAAAGTTTAACTTTCTCATATGTGAAGTTGAATGTCGAATGGAATGATGGTTCGTTAAGTAGAAGCGTGTATAGAAAGAGTTACTCCGCTTGTCAACAAACATATACACATTTATAGATTTACACCTGTCTATTGCAAAAGAAATTTTAGTTAAATATCTTTTTAAGAAGAACAAAAATGATGTTGTTGGGGATGTTAGATCCCCAGAACTGGCTTGATAAATGCCTTATTTTGGATTTCACGTTTGCCAGCATGGGCTGATCAGTTGACTTTGAGATTTCAATTCTCAGCAGGAAAATCCATGGCTGTGATTGTCTGCTGTGTATTTTAGTGTGCTATTTTCTTAACTGTCTCAAGGACGTTTCTATGTTGTATAAATAAACGAGAGTTGTATGCTTGATTGTACTGTGATTGCTGGGTGTTTGTAGAATATACTTTCTACGCTTACAAAGCCTTTTTACTCTATTTGGGGATTCAAGGTAGCCTACCTGGACGCTGGTTCATTGTCTCGTTCGCGTTTATCGACTAAGGTGAACTCGTAATAGCCTCAAGCATGCTTAGTGACGAGCGTAACAGATGTGTTCAGTAGATACTTCAAGGAAGCAGCGGAAATTTGTTAACGACATACTAATTGAGATCAGCTACCCCAATGGGTTCTTAAAAGGAATACGTGTGTATGTAGTGCGAAACAAGTGGGAGACTTTGACTGTTTCAACAGAGATGTGGTTAGCCATGTCTTGCATGATAGATTAGTGAAGGTAATTAGTAGGAAATTCTACGCAGGCAATCTTCCGTAGACATTCTCTATTTGACTAGTGATATTTACTCACGCTAAGGATATTGAGAGTACTACTGGGCAACTATAAAAACGAATGAGTGAACATCTCCCAGAATGGTTTGGAAAAGGCCGGATAAATGCAAAGCTCTGTTTTTGCACACCTAATTACCGAATCATATCAAGTGATCACTCCTACACGGTTCATCATTTCCCAAAGGATTTCGATCCTAAACCAGTATCCAACGGTATTAATGTCTAACTTTGATCAATCTAAAGATTTCTCGCAACTTTACCCAATTTATGTGTTCAATAGAAACTCTTTGGACTGATATAAATTAATCAACGATTTTATTGATTAGTATTAATATTATTTTCACATCCTGGACCAATCCTGATTCGTGCTGCTAGTATCTTTCATTTGATTTAATTCGATAATTAGAACGTCCTCTTTTGTGTTGTAATTTCAACCTGAACTTATATT